CAAAACTCACCACATCACTGTGCGTTGTGTACAGATTATCCGCCAGACTTTCTAGAGCAAGCCACTTCACTGGCAGCTTGGAAGCACAGCCCTGACGGTAGTAGTCTCCACTGTAGATTTTCTTAGAAAGCCCGAAGTCTGCAACACTCACGTTCATGTTCTCATCCAACCTAAGGAAAAGTATTAATGACTGAGAAAAGCACTTACTCACTACCTCAGGCAGAAAAGAGGTATGCCTCTGTCTGGCCAGGGAACTGAGGTATATAGTTCACCAAGTATTGCCCAGAAGGATAATGACTTTGTCTACTTGATGATCAATGTAAAATGATTTAGTGGTCTCAAACCAGTTTCTTGAGACACCAGGGAGATAATTAGGACTAAGGAAGTAAGGAAATGGTCATGCTCAGATGGTCTACTCTGTCAGCCAAAGTGAACTCAGATACTTTCTGTAGTTTCCAAGATTAACAGATGACATCTGTAGTGCTCATTGCTAACCACTAAGATCTACACCCTGCACAGGCAATCAAAAAACACAGGTGCTTGCCTAGGCTGCCTCTTACAACTGTGTAAACTAGATCTGCAAGATGTTCCCTTCAGGCCTGGTTAATGGTCTGAGTTGCTCTGTCACCCACTTAAACCTAGACACATTGGTAGATAGTGCAAGTAAAGCCCACAGACTTCATGCTCCCAGATCTCATAAAGGACTCTCTGCTTTTCCCAGAAGATACGATGAAAAAGACATTCAGCTTCCTCTGAAAGAAGTCTGGGTTTTTTTTTAAGTGTTTAAAAATAGGAAATCAGTATGCGTTTCTCATAAATGTCAAAGCAGGCTAACCCATCATTTTTCATTATGACTATCAGGCCCCTGTCTGTACATCTGGACATTCAAATGCCTTTGGAAATCTGTGTCTCATTGCAGATTTTACCAGTTGTTGTGGTTTTGTTCAGAAGCAGAGTTCTGTCTGCCAGAATGGGTTGTTCCTTGCTCTGTTCTTAGGGAAGAAGCAGACAGGAAAGGATAAAAAAGGACTTTTCTTCCCTTCAAAGCAGGCAAGGCAGTTTGGGGACAAAACCAGCACTATGGGATCATACACTGTGTTTATCCTGCAATTATTTCTAAATGCATTCTCCACATAAGCCATTGTTCACAAGGCTTTCAGGGAAATTCTACATTTCTTACATTGTGATAATCAAGTCCTCAAAATAGATGTAAGAAAAACTGATTTCAGGCCACAATGAAAGTTCCTTTCTCCTAACACAGCCAAACCCATTCTCTCCTGTTGGTTACATTATACTGTGGAACAAATAATGCTGACACATAGCCATCAGAGTGACTAATTACAAACACATTTGTAATCAACCCTATGAAAATATATGTGCAGACCAATGATAGAAAGAAAGTTCCTTACAAATAGGGTCGATTTAGAAGCTCAGTGGGACATTAGGAGTTGCTCCCTGCCCCCAGCACTGCCACTACCACCAGACACTCCCACCCCCAGGGCCATGGCTCCCCTTTGCCTATTATCACTTAAATGCAAGGACCTGCATCCTCATACAGGATCCCTCCCCACTTCTGTCATGCAAAAGGCTTTTCTTCCCCTTCTCACTCACTCTGGTCCTTCTCTAAAAACTGATAAGTCACTTACATGCAGTTCCGAGCTGCAAGATCCCTGTGTATGAAATTTTTTGAGCTCAAGTACTCCATCCCGCTGGCAATGTCAATCATGAACTTCAGGAGTGTCTGAACAGGCAAGTTCTGAAAGAAATAACAGTTTAAGATCTGTTCCTGGAAACTTTAAAGCACATATGCCAAAACTGCAAGGTTTGCTGCTGGCTTACTAAACGGGGAGGGGGGAATAGGGAGCGGGGATATAGGGAGGAGAAGGAATGGAGCAGTTGGTCCTCAACATGCACGGAATGAAATACTTCAACATCACAACTTTCTCTGGTATTAAAATGCAGTCATCCACCAATGCTTTTGGGAGACCAACCATGAACTAATCCAAGTACATTCTCTGAAAATCCATACACCCCCAGAAGGAATTTTACAGTCAGACAGACTCACAAAAGGGTTTTCCC